AGTAATATCTGCAAACTTTGTCAACAAGAAAATTTACCTATCAGAAATTTCCAGATCTCAAAACAAATTTTGAATGAGAGATCGGAAATTATGAAGCGTTACATACACACTAATATATATATATATATATATATATATATATATATATATATATATAGGGTGAGTAAAAATTCGCATATAAATAAAATATAACTATAAAAACAGCATAAAAGTCAAAAAGAAAAGTTTTCTTTACCAACACATTTCGTTCCTTGCGAACGATAATTTCGTCAATTTCGTTTAGTAGGCAATAAATAAATTATACGACTTGACTTTACTTACACAGCAAATATTTGAGTATTCTTAAATTCAAAGTTTGAAAACTTAAAGATATCTTGCGTCTGCGTGTATAAATACAAGTTACGAACTTGATATATCCCGGAAAGGGATACATTTGAACGAAGTGGCTAAGTGGTTTTGGCTACTATAACCAAGTAAAATACGGTAGCAGTAATCGACTGGTACACGTCGTAGTCGCAGGTAAGAAGTGTAGATCAAAGGCGTCATTACAGACTTAGCTCTCAGACCAAGGCTCTGACTCTCCTACACGTCCGTCGGTATTTATGACGGACACCAGCCAATCATATTCCAGTGAGGAGGAACACAGGTGTACGCTTTTTCCATTATATCAGAAATAAATTCTCCACATTTACGTTGAAAAACTTTCTAAATTTCATAAAACGCGTTGGTAAAAAGAGGTTTCCTTTTATCTTTATATATATATATATATATATATATATATATATATATATATATATATGACATCAGCAGATTCAGCTGAATTTCTTTCACACAGTACAACAATCATAGTAATATCTGCAAACTTTGTCAACAAGAAAATTTAGCTATAAGAAATTTCCAGACCCCAAAACAAATTTTGAATGAGAGATCCGAAATTATGACGCGTTGCATAAACACTAAAAATATTCTTTTGAGTTCATATGAATCGGGAGGAAAAGAAAGAATGTAAAATTCCTTTAAAACAGCGATACATTTCCAATACCCAAGATTCAATGTTCAGACAAGATGAGCTGAGATCATATATGGATCGGAATTCAACAGAATGATAAGATAAAGAACAAATAGGAAACGTTTATCAATCTAACATGTTTCACTTTTATTAAAGCTTCATCAGAGAATGAGATATGGAGAGAATGCTGTTGTCCTTTTGAAGTAGTTTCAATGTTCAGACAAGATGAGCTGGGATCAAATGGAGATCATATATGGATCGGAATCCGACAGAATGATAAGATAAAGAACAAATAGGAAGCACTTATCAATCTAACATGTTTCACTTTTATTAAAGCTTCATCAGAGAATGAGATATGGAGAGAATGCTGTTGTCCTTTTGATATAGTTTCAATGTTCAGACAAGATGAGCTGGGATTAAATGGAGATCATATATGGATGGAATCCGACAGAATGATAAGATAAAGAACAAATAGGAAACGTTTATCAATCTAACATGTTTCACTTTTATTAAAGCTTCATCAGAGAATGAGATATGGAGAGAATGCTGTTGTCCTTTTGAAGTAGTTTCAATGTTCAGACAAGATGAGCTGGGATCAAATGGAGATCATATATGGATCGGAATCCGACAGAATGATAAGATAAAGAACAAATAGGAAGCACTTATCAATCTAACATGTTTCACTTTTATTAAAGCTTCATCAGAGAATGAGATATGGAGAGAATGCTGTTGTCCTTTTGATATAGTTTCAATGTTCAGACAAGATGAGCTGGGATTAAATGGAGATCATATATGGATCGGAATCCGACAGAATGATAAGATAAAGAACAAATAGGAAACGTTTATCAATCTAACATGTTTCACTTTTATTAAAGCTTCATCAGAGAATGAGATATGGAGAGAATGCTGTTGTCCTTTTGAAGTAGTTTCAATGTTCAGACAAGATGAGCTGCGATCAAATGGAGATCATATATGGATCGGAATCCGACAGAATGATAAGATATAGAACAAATAGAAAACGTTTATCAATCTAACATGTTTCACTTTTATTAAAGCTTCATCAGAGAATGAGATATGGAGAGAATGCTGTTGTCCTTTTGAAGTAGTTTCAATGTTCAGACAAGATGAGCTGCGATCAAATGGAGATCATATATGGATCGGAATCCGACAGAATGATAAGATAAAGAACAAATAGGAAACGTTTATCAATCTAACAAGTTTCACTTTTATTAAAGCTTCATCAGAGAATGAGATATGGAGAGAATGCTGTTGTCCTTTTGAAGTAGTTTCAATGTTCAGACAAGATGAGCTGGGATCAACTGGAGATCATATATGGATCAGAATCCGACAGAATGATAAGATAGAGAACAAATAGAAAACGTTTATCAATCTAACATGTTTCACTTTTATTAAAGCTTCATCAGAGAATGAGATATGGAGAGAATGCTGTTGTCCTTTTGAAGTAGTTTCGATGTTCAGACAAGATGAGCTGAGATCAAATGGAGATCAAATATGGATCAGAATCCGACAGAATGATAAGATAGAGAACAAATAGAAAACGTTTATCAATCTAACATGTTTCACTTTTATTAAAGCTTCATCAGAGAATGAGATATGTTTCAATGAGAAAGAATGGGATCAAATGTCATTTGGATGAATCCGACAGAATTAAGATAAGAACAAAAGAAAACGTTTTTCAATCACTTTTCAGAAAAAGATGCTGTTGGGATGTTCCAGAGCTGGGATCAAATGGAGATCATATATGGATCAGAATCCGACAGAATGATAAGATGAGAACAAATGAAAACGTTTATCAATCTAACATGTTTCACTTTTATTAAAAGCTTCATCAGAGAATGAGATATGGGAGAATGCTGTTGTCCTTTTGAAGTAGTTTCAATGTTCAGAAAAGATGAGCTGGGATCAAATGGAGATCATATATGGATCAGAATCCGACAGAATGATAAGATAGAGAACAAATAGAAAACGTTTATCAATCTAACATGTTTCACTTTTATTAAAGCTTCATCAGAGAATGAGATATGGAGAGAATGCTGTTGTCCTTTTGAAGTAGTTTCAATGTTCAGACAAGATGAGCTGGGATCAAATGGAGATCATATATGGATCAGAATCCGACAGAATGATAAGATAGAGAACAAATAGAAAACGTTTATCAATCTAACATGTTTCACTTTTATTAAAGCTTCATCAGAGAATGAGATATGGAGAGAATGCTGTTGTCCTTTTGAAGTAGTTTCAATGTTCAGACAAGATGAGCTGCGATCAAATGGAATCATATATGGATCAGAATCCGACAGAATGATAAGATAGAGAACAAATGAAAACGTTTATCAATCTAACATGTTTCACAATAAAGCTTCATCAGACAAGATGCTGTTGAGCTAGTTTCAATGTTCAGACAAGATGAGCTGAGATCAAATGGAATCATATGGATCGAATTCAACAGAATGATAAGATAAAGAACAAATAGGAAACGTTTATCAATCTAACATGTTTCACTTTTATTAAAGCTTCATCAGAGAATGAGATATGGAGAGAATGCTGTTGTCCTTTTGAAGTAGTTTCAATGTTCAGACAAGATGAGCTGCGATCAAATGGAGATCATATATGGATCAGAATCCGACAGAATGATAAGATGAGAACAAATAGAAAACGTTTATCAATCTAACATGTTTCACTTTTTATTAAAACTTCATCAGAGAATGAGATATGGAGAGAATGCTGTTGTCCTTTTGAAGTAGTTTCAATGTTCAGACAAGATGAGCTGCGATCAAATGGAGATCATATATGGATCAGAATCCGACAGAATGATAAGATAGAGAACAAATAGAAAACGTTTATCAATCTAACATGTTTCACTTTTATTAAAGCTTCATCAGAGAATGAGATATGGAGAGAATGCTGTTGTCCTTTTGAAGTAGTTTCAATGTTCAGACAAGATGAGCTGCGATCAAATGGAGATCAAATATGGATCGGAATCTGACAGAATGATAAGATAAAGAACAAATAGGAAACGTTTATTAATTTACACGTTTCACTTATTTAAAAGTTAAATGTGTTAGCCTGATAAACATTTTTTGTTTTTGTACTTTATCGTATATATATATATATATATATATATATATATATATATATATATATACTTTATCTCATATATATATATATATATATATATATATATATATATATACATATCTGTATGTATGTGTTTGTGCGTGTGTGCATCTGATGCAGATTATAGATGTATAGCTGCTTCCTTTTATTCAGTCATTTTCTTTGCTTTCCTTTTTTTTCCTATCCTGTTTTTCTCTCTTTTCTCTTTTAATGTTGTCTTTTCTCTGACTCAAGCCCGTTTTCTGTGAACGAACTCTCAAACGTTCGCATGCCAACTCGCCCGCCTTCCCAGCCTCGACAGTTTTCACCGTCCGTTAACATTATCTTTTCTCCCGCGCGCGCCAATATATTCTCCCCCTCAGCCTATCTCTCCGTTACCGCTCAACTCCGCTTTGCCGCGATTCCCGCTCCTTCGTCCTCTTTTTAAGCAGGCTTAACAGGTAGCAGTTCATTCTTGCGTCTCGTAGCGCGCCCCCTGTGCACACGCGAGACGCGTACCAGTCTGCATATATATTTGTTCCAAAGGCTCTGCAACCGCCCTTAAAAAAAAAAAAAAAAAAAAGAAAGAAAAAAAAAAAAAAGAAAAAGAAGAAAAAAAAAAAATACATCGATACAAGCACGCACAAACGCACAGACACATACACACTCAAACACACAGACGCACGACCGGACAGATACGCAAATCCTGCGATTCTTCTAAAAATATACGCAACACATCTGCTTTAGTTGCACGCAAATAGTACGAAGCAAAGAAAAGAACAACAGCAACGTCAAGTTGCATTTATCAGTTGCATATATACATCTGCAATTTTTTTTTTTTTGCAGCTTAGCAACTGCGGTTTGAATCGGGTTGCACCCAGATAGAAAGAGTAAAGAGACAGTAGTTGATATCAACAAACTTGCAGAGAAAAGAAAAAAAGAAAGAAAGAAAGAAAGAAGGAAAGAAAGAAAAAATAAAGGAAGAAGATTACAGCAGAATTTTGGGCGCCCCCCTCCAAAAAAAACAAAAAAAAACGACCACATCCTTTCAACAGAGCGAGCACTTGTCGTCGTAACTGACAAAAGCAAGGGTAAGCAAACTTGATCATTAAACAACCTGTTGCATTTCAACATCAGCTAGCTGCATTATGCTTATCGCGGGAAAAGCTATTTTACTTTACACGCGCGTGTACACAGAGACGAGAGAATGCACTCACACACCCACACGCACACACATGCAAACACATATATATATATATATATATATATATATATATGCGCGTGTGTGTGTATTATTATATATTTAATAATATACATTAATAATTAATATGACAATATGATACAAATGGTGGTATTATTGGTGATACGGCTTTTCGACTTGGCCCAATAAACCATGACTGTTCGTAATTGTTAGAGAAGCAGAATGAAGCGCGCGAGGCGCGAAACTGCATAGTCTGAGTCAGGAGGATGCTCATCGTTTAGCGCCGTGATACCTGCTTAGTTACAGTCGACTACACATATACATATATATTTACATACGCGCATATGAATGCATATAAAGTGCACACACGAATATATATATATATATATATATATATATATATATATATATGAGGGTAATGGTCAGGATTGAATCAGACCGGGAAAGAGTAGTATTAAAAAAGTACTGAATGCACGTGTGAAAAAAAAAAAAAGTAGATCTTTTAACTTTAAAAATCAGATCAGTTTAATCCGTTACCATAGTTTCAACCTTAGGGTATCCTCAGGGGGGAATTTTTATCAAATGACCCTGTAAAGCTTTATTTAAAAAAAAAAAAAAAATTAATGAACGTAAAATAATTTTAAAATAATATAACGTTCTTTTTTTTTTTTTTTCAATAATATATATATATATATGTTTCAATACAATATATATATATATATATATATATATATATATATATATATATACTTTCTAATTTCATATATATATATATATATATATATATATATATATATATATATATATATTTATATTTGGTTGGATAGATGTGAGTTTGTGACCCTGGGTTTCATGCTTTAGCGATCGTCAGACACACTGATTAATGTTTTAAAAATTGGGGTTTATGTAGATTGTGTGTATTGATGTTAATATATAAATAATTATACATACTTATATTTATTTATATTTATATACACTTTTCACACACACACACACATATATATATATATATATATATATATATATAGTTTCGTTGTGATTTAATTTTTATTATATTTTTTTGTCCTGTCCGTCGACTTCAATGAAACCTTTATAAAAAGAGGGATTGATTCCGAAATACACGTATCTATCTCTCTCTCTCTCTCTCTCTATATATATATATATATATATATATATATATATATATATATACTTCTTTTTCAATTTAAAATTTCACACTGTATTGTACACGTTTAAAAATTCCGTTTTTAAAAATGTTGTCATTATATATATATGTGTTTGTATGTATATGTATGTATGTGTATATATATATATATATATATATATATATATATATATATATATATATATATATATATATATGTGTGTTTGTATATATATATATAGAGAGAGTGAAAAAAGAGAGATATACTAAACATATGAGTCAGTTTACAAAGTTTATAGTTTTATCGTCATGATACCGTTTCAACTATACTGATATATATATATATATATATATATATATATGTGTGTGTGTGTGTGTCTGTATGCATATGCTTACATACATATATATATATATATATATATATATATATATATATATATATATATATATATGCGTGTGTGTGCGTGTTTGTGTGTTTAATTTGTATAAGCAAATACGCATGCACATATATACACATAATGCGCACTTTTACTAACCCACATATATGACTGCGCACGTACACGTGCAGCGTCAGATGCATGTTATCCCAGAAACATATAATTTGTATGCAAATATATATGCATAATATATATATATATATATATATATATATAAAATTCTTATAATCTAAAGATATTTTCCTGTCTTTAAATAACCCGCAAATGTTTGATAAGCCGCAGGAATCAAATAAATCAATCAATCAAATATTGATTATCTACACAAGTCTGTCTTTTGGCTTTATTAACATTCTCTGGAATATAACTTTATAGAAACCACAATGACCCTAAAGTGAGGGATCACTTTATATATTGATTATTATATAGAGTTGATCCCCCATTTTATATACACTCATAATTTCTTGTTTGTTTATCAAATTCTGATAATGTATAAATCTCCCACTTCTCCCCCAGCGATGGGTTAATTAGTAACTCTTGCATCATTAAATCATTATTATCTCAAAAAAATACTTATGATATAAAAATATTTTCCTGGCTTTAAATAACCTGCAAAGTGTTGATAAGCCGTAGAAAACAAATCAATCAATTAAATACTGATCATCTGCATGGGTTTGTCTTTTTGTTTTATTAACCTTATCTGGAATATAACTGTATGCAAAACCACATTGGCCACAAAATGAGGGATCAGTTTATGTATTGATTGTAATATAGAGTCGATCCCTCATTTTATATCCACATAATTTCCTGTTTGTATATCAAATTCTGGTTATGTATGATTCACCATCTTCTCCCCCAGCTATGGGTTAATTAGTAACTCTTGTATCACTAAATCATTATTATCTCAAAAAAATTCTTATGATCTAAAAATATTTTTTCTGGCTTTAAATAACCAGCAAAGGGTTGATAAACCGTAGAAAATGAATGAATCAATTAACGAACAACAGTGAAGAAATCAGCCAAAGAGGAATGGATTTTTTTTTTTTTTATGGATAAGAGGCATGAATTATTATTATGTAAGAAGGGCACACATAGACACAGGGATTTGTCTTTAGTTCCGACCGGAAGACGCCTACCTAACGAAGACAAAATGCGTTGCCAAGAAAAGTTTTTCACTTTGTCTCATATATAAATATTTGTATAGATAGATAGAATGTATAAGATAGATAGATAGATAGATAGATAGATAGATAGATAGATAGATAGATAGATAGATAGATTATGTATCCTCCGATAGGAAGCGAACACGTTCGCTTCCTATCGGAGGATACATAATCTATCTATCTATCTATCTATGGACTGCCATATCAATAAGGAGGCACCGTTTTTGTTTGTGGTCTTTAATAACAATATCTGGGCGGTTGGCCTTGATTGTTCTGTCAGTGTGTATTGTGTAATCCCATAGAATTGTAGCAGGTCCTATCTCCGTAACCGGGTCTGGGTGGTGTTCATACCAGTTTCTTTCAGTTTCCTTCCCGTAGAAGTTGCAGATTTTCCAGTGCAGATATTGGCCCACTCTGTCATGTCGGGTTTTATATTCAGTGGGTGCCAACACCGTGAAAACCTGATACAAGATGATCAATTGTTTCTGGATATTTATCACAGAATCTGCATTTTGGGCTAACACAATATTTTAGTATATGTGCTTGATAATTCCTAGTTAACAAGCATTGGTCCTATGCAACAAGGATAAAACCTTCAGTTTCAGCTTTTAACCCTGCACTACGTAGCCACTGATGGGTACGGATTTTGTCTACGTCAGCTTGTTTGGTACGGGCAGAGTATTGGCCATGAAGCGGTTTATCTTGCCATCGCTTCTGTATCTGGTCGGTTGCATTCGTCTTTGCTGTTTTTTTTTTTTTTAAGTATTTTGCAGTTTCAGCCGGTGTATTGTGCTGTACTTGCATCTCTACGCCCCTTTGAAACTCCATTTTGAATTTGTTGGCTTCTTTCATTACGGAGTAAAGACGCTTACTACTTTCATGTTCCTTGACGCATACCATCACCCAGTCTTCTGTAGTTTCCAAGTATTATTATTATTATTATTATTATTATTTCGTTTTTGTTGTGTTCTTATAGATTTTTTTTTATGAGGCTAAATGTAGCACTTTTTCTTAAAAGAAAAAAAAATGTAAATTGAATACTTTAGATTGCATCATCTTTCAAAATTAAAAAAATAATTAACAAAACCTTGAGTCCACACTCTAACACTATTTTCTAGGGTTTAGACGGATAACATTTTAATGATTCAACCTTTTCTAACCTTCATGGCTAAGACCCGTCACATTTTAGCGAGCCACCCTCATTCCCTTCGTAATACCGCTGGTGAGATATAAGTTCCACTCGAGCAGCGACTTCCCACGAAGCGTAACTTTGTGGAAGAGAATGCTTCCCCGATCTTAACCTGTTCAACTCAAGGGTTAATCGTTATCTTCCTCGCATATCCCCCATATACTCTGCGCCTAACCTCTAACTCTGTAACCCTCTACATCGAGTGGCTCTTGGGATTCATACATTCTGAACATTATTATAAAAAAAAAACCGCTCAAGGACAGAGACTCTCAGTATATCTGCCCATAGGTGTGACCACTTGGTTAAGGTCAGGCAACTGTGGTACTGGTCGGGATGTTTTCGATTGTAGCCAATCTTAATTGAGGGTTACAAAACATGTACATGGCCAGAAGCCACGAGAGCCATTCTTGGTGTTTTATCTGCGCATTTATTATTATTATTATTATTAAACCCAGTTTTTCTAATTTAATGTTTGAATCAGTCCATTACCAAGTCTTTTACCTGAAACCTAAGAAGCTTACGGCCATATCACTTACGATCAACATAGTTAAGCAACGTCGAACCTGGTCAGTACCTAGATGGGTTACCACTTGGGAATATCAGGTTCGGTAAGCGTGGATGTGCAGGTGGTGCAATAATGGCTAGGAGTCCCAATTCCAGTTCTTTTTGTTCACTTACGTTCAAATACTCTTCAGGAAGGTATCAGTTATCTTGTTTAAACCCCTACCTATGGGTTAATTAGTAGGACTTGTATTAGTAAATTATTATCTCCAAAAAATAAATTCTTACAATCTTAAAATATTTTCTGGCTTTAAATAACCTGCAAAAGGTAAACCGTAAAAACGAAAGAGAGTAAGTGCACAGTACACATGAGCACAATTTCTTCTTTTTTTTTTTTTTATCTCACACAGTGTTTTATTTTATTTTATTTATTTATTTTTTTTTGTTTCCTGGAGTTTTTTTAACGTCTATATCAGTATTCTTGTTTGTCTTTCCTAGTGCTCCTATTATTACTGGTATAATGGTTGTGTTTAACGGTCACATTCTTACGATTTCTTTTTCCAAGTCCTCGTATTTCGAAACAGAATATCAGCCATAAGCACTTTGGCGGTCCCTGTGGTGCGATACAGTTTCAACATCCTGAATTCGACCACAGCTGCCATTAAGTGAATGGACGTCAAAACGGGGAAGCTTCTCACTTGCACACCGCATGCGTCATCCTCAGGATCGTCTATAAGTGCCGAGATCCGAAGGAGGTAGAGGATTAGTTCAACTAGAACTGACTTACAAAACCACAACAATCGATCTTCAAAGCTACCTGGAATCTAAGGAAGACATGATGATGATCTGCATCAAAGAACATGAAAGAAATAAAAAAAAAAAAACTTTATTCAGTAATAAGGGAAGTCAACAACTGTTGACCATGTTCAACATAATCTATGAATATAGAATACAGCGCAGTACGTAATCTGTTCAACGAAACAACGTTAAAGATTAACACTCACCAGCAGCGGTTCCGTAATTCTTAAGTCTTCGATATTAGAGGTTGGCAGTGAATATTCGGAAAATAACATGGCCGCCTTTATACACGTCGCATTGAATATTCTGAGCCTTCTGATTGGCTAACCCTTCTATTGGTCAATATTCATATGGAACAAATACTGAATTTCAAGTGGAAAAGAACTGAAAAAAAAAACATGATGCACCTACTGCAGCAGCAAAGAACCTAAAAAAAGATAGCAAATCAAATGCACCGTTGTACCAAAGGCAGAAACAATAGCAAGATAAGCCCATTGATGGTTAATACTCTGCCCGTGCTAAACGGGATGATGTAAACAAACCCAGTACCAATCAATGGTTGCGTAGTGTAGGCTTAACCCTAAATGCAGATTCTGTGAAAAATATATTCATTTCATTCCGGGTCCTAACCAGAGATCTAAGGTCAGAAATGGCCTTATGATATTTCTACTGATCATAAAATAATAAACTACAATCACACACATTTTACATAGACAGAACTCTTCGTAATGTGTGAGCTGTACTTGTAAGTACAATTCTTTTGTATTTCTTTAAGACAGAGGCTACCACATATCGCTTCATTGCGTCTATCGGACCCTTTTCCTATCAATCCGGGGGCTCCAACTACAACTGGAATTACTGATGTCCTTCTATGCCACATTTTTGAGACTTCCACTTCGAGATCTTTGTATTTTTAGAATTATTTTTTAAAGATCTTCAAAGATACCTTACAATTTGCAGGGACTGCCATGTAAATGAGAACGCAAATTTCTGTTCTTATGGCCTTTGATCACGATGGGTGACTAGATTTGATTGTTCTGTCTGTGTGTATTGTGAAGTCCCACAAAAATTGTTACAGGTCCTATCTCTGTAAGCGGGTCTGAGTGGTGTTCCTTACCAGTTTCTTGCAGTTTCCTTGCTGTAAAGGTTGCATGTTTTCCAGTGCGGCCCACTCTATCATACCGAAGTTTATATTCAGATAAGGCTAACACCGTGCAACCTGATACAAGATGTTCAATTATTATTATTATTTCCTTTGATTTCTGGCGTGTACACATTTCTTTCCGGGTCCCTCCCAGAGACCTAAGGTTAGAAATGGCATCATGACACTTTCCACTGACCAAAAAAAAAAAAAAATTAGATAGATAAAGCCCTTCGTAAAGTGTGGGCTGTACTTGTCAACAATTTTTTGTATTTCTTTTAGGCACGGACTTCCAGGAATCTCTTCAATTAGTCTACTGGAATCTTTTCAAACCAATCATAGGGCTCCAACTACAACAGGGATTGTTGATGTCCCCATGTGCCACATTTTTGAGATTTCTATTTCAATGTCCTTGTATTTTGACAGCTTTTTGGATATCTTCAAAGATACATTGCAGTCTGCAGGGACTGCCATATCAATAAGGAGGCACTTTTTTTTGTTTGTGGTCTTTAATAACAATATCTGGGTGATTGGCTTTGATTTTTTTAGCAGTGTGTATTGTGTAGTCCCATAGAATTGTAACAGGTCCTATCTCCGTAATCGAGTCTGGGTGGTATTTATACCATTTTCTTTCAGTTTCCTTGCCGTAAAAGTTGCAGATTTTCCAGTGCAGATATTGGCCCACTCTGTCATGCCGGGTTTTATATTCAGTGGGTGCCAACATCATGCAACCTGATACAAGATGATCAATCGTTTCTGGATATTTATCACAGAATCTGCATTTTGGGCTGACACAATATTTTTGTATAAGTGGTTGGAAAATTCTTATTAGCAAGCATTGGTCCTGTGCAGCAAGGATAAAACCTTCAGTTTCAGCTTTCAACCCTGCACTACGTAGCCACTGATGGGTACGGATTTGGTCTACATCAACTTGTTTGGTACGGGCAGAGTATTGGCCATGAGGCGGTTTATCTTGCCATTGTTTCTGTATCTGGTTATTATTATTATTATTATATTTCGATTTTTCCTATGGTACACTACCTACCAAGTCTGCGGGTAGAACTAAGGCAATTAAGGGTGTGTATTTTGTGGTTACATTTCATAATTTGTTTATGTACCTACCATAGCATCACTAGCGTTACATGGACAAAGATTTTTCTGAGTGTGTGGGCTGTACTTATCAAGACAATTTTTTTTTGTATTTCTCTTAAGATGGGATTTTCAGGGATTTTTTTTTCAATGTGTTGTTGTGTTTCTTTTTTTATCATTCCAAGCGCACCTACTATGTATTATTCTTGTTTTCAATTTCCACATTTTTTTTTCTATTTCGATTTGCACGTCTTTATTACTTCGATTGCTTTACAAATTCCTTGATTGATGTTACAGTCCGTTGGGCAATCATATAGTAGGCTATTTTTTTTTTCTTTTCGGTTTTCGATAATTATGTCCGGCCATTTGCTTCACTTTTCCTGTCTGTAACGATGGTGTAGTCCAATGGAATTGTTATGTCTTCCATTTCTGTAAG